ATAAGAAGGATAACAACATGACAAATTACAGCTGAATTCAATGCAGGTGCATCACAAAGCATATCTCAATGCACAACAAAACACACTTTGCAAAGGATGGGCCTTAGCAGCAGGAGACCATCAAGAGTGCTTTTGGTATCACAGAAAAATATGAAAAGCCACCTCACCTGTTATGGACTCAGGAATAATGAAATTGGTCACTTGAGGACTGGAAAAAAGTAGCCTGGTCCGATAAATCTCATTTCCTGCTCCATTATGCAGATGGCAGGATCAGAATATGGTACAAACAGCACAAATTTATGGACCCTCTGCTGCCAAATGACAACTCTTCAGGCTGGTGGCGGTGGAATTATGATGTGGGGAATGTTTTCTTGGAATACACAGGGTTCCTTGATATTTGTGGACAAATCTATGAATAGAACAGCTTACTTCAACATTGTTGTCGATCACATACACTTATTTATGGCTGTAGTGTTCCCTGATGGAGATGATCACTTTCAGCAGGACAATGCACCTTGTCACCATGCTTGATTGGTCTCAAATTGGTTTGAGGAACATCAATCATAGTTTAACCAGCTTCCATGGCCAGCTCAGTCCCCTGACCTCAATCCTACAGAGCATTTGTGGGACGAGGTTGAAAGATCACTTCAAAGCTTGGAAACACACCATCCAATCTGACCCAACTTAGAGCTGCCATTATGTTAGCATGGGTCAACTTTCCTCAGCAATGGTATCAGCAACTTGTTGAGTCCATACCAAGAAGAATATCGGCTGTGATCAACTAAAGGTGGACCAACTCATTATTAGAGGGTGTGTCTAACTTTTTGGCCACTCAGTGTATATATCTTAGTGACAAAGGTCAAAGAGAGATTATAAAGCCGGGATTTGTTCGGAGAATCTTATACCATCAGCGTCATTTTGAACATTTTGCCTCAGTTCCAGATGTTGAAGATTAAGGAGGGAGGCTATAAACCTCCCTCCAGTATAAAGGTAATCAGTTTATTTTAACCTTAACCTTCAGTTCTGTTTAAAACTCCATCTTGACAAGGTAAGACGTATTAAAAGTGCTAGTTCATAAATACAGTAGTTAGTTTTTCTGAAATTCAGAGCTTCAGTATTAAAATATTTTTCCAATTTGAAACAATGTAATGAAAAAACAAATATAAGAAAATAAATGAAATAAATTGGTTTTCTATCAAAATAAAGCATAATCATTTACTACTACTATTATTTTTGATACAATTCCTTTCTTTTTTTATTAGTAAAAAATGTAAGTTTTTTTTTCTGTGCAATGTCTATGGGGGTCCTCAAAAAAATTAAGAGGAAAAGGGATCCACATGTAAAAAAAAGGTTGAGAACCACTGGTCTAAATTATAAATGTTTCTATAATAATTTTTGATATTTATCAGTTATAAAAATAAAAATTTCAGAAATAGTCGTCCTCACTAAACTTACACAAGAAAAAATTTGGTAGTAAAGGGCTTAGTCCCTTTACTACCAAATTTTTTTTAATCAATAAACATATGTATGGTCTATGTGATAGAAACTGTCATGAGATTGTGTTATCCTTTTCTTTATTTATGTACTATTAACAGAGGAGACAAAATGAAGGAGAAAAGAGCAAATGATACTAAATACTAGAGGTCATGTTTTAGTTTTACTCCTTTTAGCTGTATAGTTAGTCTTTTTGTAGAATTATTTAAAAGGGTAGGGTTTTGATAAAAGCATTAATTTTACTTTTCCAGCTATTACAAACAACAGCCAGGAAAATATGGCAACCAGTCAAAAAATGACCCCCAAGATTTTTACAGTTTTGGACTCAGAACCTTAAAATGTCAATAAATGCAAAAAGTTTTGGGGATTTTTCTGTGTGTGTGTGTTTATGTGGGGGGTACAATTTTGTTCACCAACTTTGAAGCTTAATAACTCTTAATTAAAATGGCTGGTGATATTTTTATAAATTAAAAATTGAAGAAGCTAAATCATCATCTTTCTGCCATGTTTAATCATCAAAAAACAATAACAGTCTTTCTTCATAGAGACAACCTTTTATTGTCGGTTACGCCTCTGTTGAATTATGCAAAACAGTAAAAAGTTCACCGATGATCAGTGGCATGCCGTCCATGGAAACTGTGGAAGCACTGCTTCCCTCGTATTTTCTAAAATATAAATACATATTGTGTGATTATTTTCATATTTTAATGTACTTTGAATTACTTAAAATTAATATTTTATTGCAACCACATTATGTATTTTATTACAAATTTCTATACTACATGTGAAAAACAATGATAAGATCGCTATTGTATATTCGAATATAAATTTATATATGCATATTCTCAATGGAAGCGGCGTATTGTCGAATACAGGATAGCTTCCACTGCAAAAATATTTGAATCGTGTAAAGCAGCCAGATTACAGGCATTTGCACATGTGCTTTCCAGAACACCAACTTCATGCGGTTTAGCACATGGTTGCTACACACCAAAATATCATATAACGATTCCAATGTTTCTATCCAGGGCCGGCACAGCTTCCCTATCATCAAACGTCACTGCACGCCACTGCTGATAAGCTGATGAAAAAATATATACACAATTTTAATTAAAATAGCTGACAGTATTTTATTCAAATTGACTATACTTTGTATATACATACCAAAAGTATAGTGATCTTATATGGTCACTACCAAAATTGTTTTGTTTTTACATGTATATACTTACATACAGGATGTTTCAAGAAACTTCAAATCTCTTTCATAATTCCAGAAATCATAACCTCCAAGGACCCTACTAGTTCTTGATTTATCCCTGATCAAACCTCTGTATAATGAATTCCTTTTGATAAATGTGGAGAATTCTTTATATAGAAAAGCCAAGAAATAAAAATGCACTGGTAGTAAAAAGAAAACGCACCCTAAGATTGCTTTTATGTGATCTGGAAGTTTCCCAGACAGATAAAACTGGGTACTGAAATTTGCCTGGATGAGTAGCAGTGCATTGTAAGGCATGAAACTTTTCACACGTTATGTACTGTACTGTACTGTACATGGTGAAATCTGTCTGTCTTTCTCAGCCTAGATTTCTTCACTCACGGCTCACAGGCATAGTTTGCAACCTAGCATAGCACTGAAGCAAATGCATATCTTTGTGTCATCTGGGTAGCTAGTCATCTTGGTGCTTTCAATTATCTTTTGTGCATGCTACAAGCACTGTTTTGTCAGTTCTATCAGATAATAGACTAGTAAAGCAGTATGGCAATTTTCCTACACATCCATTGCCATGCACTTGCAAAACTGCTCTCTTTCAACCCAGAGAGGAGATAATTTTCACTGTGAGGAGATGTCTGGAAGGTACCTGGATGAAATTCAGATATCATTCGAAAACATATTGGCATCATCTATCTGGATGTCTAGGTTGTGTGAAAGTGGCTTAATGTGTAATGATGTTTTATTCTGCAAATAAACTTGTATGATTTATAGATTTATTTTAATAATCAAACTACTGGATTGGATTGTTTAAAATGTCAAGTGGAAAAAAATCATGCTTTGACTTTGACTCTCATAGACATGACAAAATTTGGAAATAAATGAGATGTAGCATTCCTTTGAAAGAAAAACTATCATGTTGTAAGTAATAAAAACATAACAATTCTTAGGTGTCAGAAAAGAAAATATCATCATGTGAGATATGAGTCAAGGTGTCAGATTTGATTAATGGAGAGTAATCTTTCTTTTGCCCAATCTGGTTGTCTAATTTCACCTGGAAACAGGATAGGAACCAATCAGGTGGAAAGAGAAAATCAGGACCAATCAAACTAAGAATTTTGGGAAGAAATCCTTTAAAAACCCTGAAATTCAAGGAACCCTGAAGTGTGGTTGCTTCTCCCTCACTCAACCTGTTTGTCCTCTGTGTTGGTTTCCCTGTTGTCTCGGACTTCATCTTCATTTTGTCGAACTACGTCTGACTTCCAGCCAGCCAGTTTGCCTTAAGTTGTCCAATCGCTGTCAAAACTGTGATTGATTGCCATTGGTTAACCAGTGATCTATAGACTGAACTTTAACTTTGTTTCTATCCAAGCGAAATTCTCTTCTGGAATTATGTAGGGAATTTTCCAAATAAATAGCTTGTTATGTAAAAGTGACCTGTCTCAGTGTTGCGGCGGTCGGCAACACTGCGCCTGACCACCGTCCCCAACCCGCGTGACGTCAGAGGTCGAAGTTCACACTTTTCGGGTCGACGTGCTGAGGTCCGGACGCTTGTCTCATACGCTCCGACCTTTGTCTAAGAGATCAGCGTTGTTCTCGACATCTGTACCATAATTGTAATTATCGATAAATAAACTAGCAAATACGAAGTTCGGATCCTTCTTTCGACCTTGGTCAATACAACTCGACGCCACGACGATTCCCTCCGCGGATGCGATCGGATCGAGCTACCTGACTAACATCGACTATTTAGAGGAACCATTTACGGTCCCCTCACTGGTGAGCCGAACGTGATCCGACAACGTGGGAGCTCAACACCGAACCTTCCCAAGCCCAGACGCCATTTACGGAAATACAGGTAGGCCTCTTTTTCTCTTCCACGCCGGTCAAGCAGCCGAACAAAGATGGCAGAGCCCGAACCCACCGCAGAAGTGAACAGAGTGGCCCTCAAACTACCTCCGTTTTGGGACAAGACTCCAGAGTTGTGGTTCGCTAATATAGAGGCCCAGTTTGCCATTTCGGGCATCACAAAGGACAGTACCAAGTACTACTCTGTCGTGTCTGCTCTCAACTCCGATGTCTTGAACTACGTAAGCGACATCGTCCTCAACCCACCGGCCGAAAACCGTTATAATACGCTTAAGGCCAGACTGCTCGCCGATTTCTCAGACTCGGAACAAAGGAGAATCAAAGCGCTACTCTCGGATATCGCGTTGGGAGACGAAAAGCCATCACATTTATTAAGAAAAATGAGGCAGTTAGCCAACAATAAATTAGGGGAAGACTTTCTAAAAACCTTATGGCTACAACGACTGCCGCAACAGACCCAAGCGATCCTGGCAGCCTCCGACGACGGGTTAGAAAACTTGGCCATCATGGCCGACAAAATAGGAGAGGTAACGCACGCGAACGTCGACGAAGTCCAAAAAGGCCCCGATAATACACAAGCCCAGTTAAGCGAGCTCCAGGCACAAATAGAATCCCTTAGTCAGAGAATCGAACGATTAGCTCGGCCCCGCGACAAGTCCAGGCAAGGCAGAGCACATTGGCGGCGGCGCTCAAAGACGCCCAAGGGAGATGCTAGCCACCTTTGCTGGTACCATCAAAAATACGGGAGCGAGGCAAAACGCTGCCGTTCCCCATGCTCTTTCCGCCAGTCGGGAAACTCTTAAGGAAATCGCACGAAACGGCCCGCTGCGATTTCAGACCCGATAACAAGAGCCGTTTATTCATTTTCGACCCCGTTTCTAACCGTGAGTACTTGGTGGATAGCGGAAGCGATGTGTGCGTTTTACCCTTCTCAGGAAACGGCACGAGGGACAACTCCCACGCCGTGAAGCTCTATGCGGCAAATGGTACACCGATACGAACGTACGGTACCAAGTTAGTTACGCTCGGGCTCAACCTCCGTCGCCGTTTTCAGTGGCCTTTTGTACTAGCGGACGTTAGTAAGCCAATCATAGGCGCCGATTTTCTGTGGAAATACGGATTGTTAATCGACCTAAAGGGCGCACGTCTCAGGGACGCAATTACCAACTTAGCCACCACGGGTAAAAAGATCGAAACGGAAGTTACTCAAGTAACGCTGATAGCCAGCTCGTCGACATATCGGAGTATCTTGGAGAAGTACCCCAACATTTTCCATCCTTACCCCGCAGGGACGGCCAGGGCACCCAAACACCACACCGTGCACCGCATTATAACAAAGGGACAGCCGGTATTCGCAAAACCACGCCGACTGCACCCAGCCAAACTCGCGGCGGCTCGGAAGGAGTTCCAATACATGATGGAGCAGGGAATTTGCAGGCCCAGCACCTCCAACTGGGCTAGCCCCTTGCACATGGTGCCCAAGCCGAATGGAGAATTCAGGCCAACGGGCGATTATCGAGCGTTGAATCGACTTACGATTCCCGACCGCTACCCGTTACCACATTTGCAAGATTTCTCCTCTTCCCTATTCGGCAAAACCA